CTTTTCTTAAACGTGCCCCCAAAAGTGGGAGGTGGTCCATGACGGCGGGCTCTGGGGCCCCAAAAATACCCCATAACCCCTGGGGGGGGCTCCCAGCCCGGTGGGAAAGGCTGTGGGAGGTGGTCCATGATGGTGGGCTCTGGGCCCCCAAAAATACCCCTTAACCCCCGGGGGGGGCTCCCAGCCCGGTGGGAAAGGCTCCAAGCCCTCCCTTATGTAAACCCTGGTGATGAGTCAGGGCCCCAAAACCCTTTCCCAAGGAGGAGACGTAACGAGGCGGGTTACATAACGGCAATTAACCACCTTGGCACCCGCCGGGGCACGAGGCAAGGCCGGGATGTGCCGGGCACCACCTGGGTACGAGACGTGACACCCATCACCCCCCCGGCTCCTGCTCTCAAACACCTGGGTCGTTTGGCCCAAAAAAAATTTAAAAAATTCCCCCAAAGCACCAGAAAAACCCGCTTTTCTCCCCGTCCCGCTCGGCGGCTGCGCCCCAACCTTCCTTCGTCAACCGGGCAGCGGTAACGACGGCGGTAACGAGGCCCCCGGGGGTGTCAGCAGTAGGAGCCCCGTGTTTTTTTTGGCAGCCCCAAATCCCGCAGCGGGAACAAGAACAGCTCCGGGAGCTCCGTTCCCATTGATCCGCCTCGTTAAGAGGGGTTGGGTAACGAAGGGTTTGGGTAACGAAGGGTTTGGAGCGCCGCAAGCCCGGGCAGGGTGAGGAAAAGGGCGGGGGGGGAATCCCATGGGAATGTCACCCCAGGGAGATGCCAGGGGGCTCTGGGGATGCTCCGGATGGGGATGGGTCGTATCCGGAGCAGGGAGGAGGTGGAACATTTTTCCAGCAGGAAAAGTTGGGTGGGAGCAAGGTCCCTCTCCCAAAGCGGGGCCACAGAGAGACGTGTCCCCCCCCGTGGGACACGGGGTCCCCCCGGTTGCCCCCCTGGATCCGTCCCCCCCGCCGCTGAGCCCTACCTGCCTCTCCAGAGAGACCTTGTCGCACTCCAGGTCCTGCCGGCTGGAGCGTTCCTGCAGCAGCTCTGCCCGCAGCTGGTCGATCTGGGGACAAGGTTTTGGGGTTTTTTGGGGTTTTTTTCCCGCAAAAATATTGCCGCAATTAGGGCCACGGCGCAGGTTTCCCCCGCGGCGCCGGCGCTGCAGAGGACGGGCGGACTCGGTGCACCCAAGAGTCCCAGGGACACGCCGCCGGCGTCGGCGGCACCAAAATCCCCCGGCGAGAGGATTTTTGGTTCCTTCCTAAATTAGTTTCCGCCGTCCTGGCGAGCGGCCCGGAGACCGGGGCTGCGATTTTCCACCGGAGGGTTTTAAACTGGTTAGACTGGGATGCGGGGACTCGGCTCTGCCCCGGCACCGGGGGGCACGACGGGGGGGTTCAAAGATCCCTCGGTGGAGCCCCCCCAGAACCGGCCCCGGGGGCTTCTTTCCCTCCGGGCAAGACGCGACCGCAGCCTTATTTCAAAGCGAATGAAATTGGGAGTTTATCTAAAAAACATGGCTTGGATTTTACTCAAACAGCCCAAAAGCCGGTCCGGGGGGGGCGGGGGGAGCACAACCCCCAGCTGCGGTTTCACGCACGTCCCCGCTCCGGTGCTCCGGGATTCACGGGAAGAGTCTCCCCTGGGATGTGCCCATTTCCCAGATGGGGAAAAAAAAATGGGAAACCCACCCTTTTGACCAGCTCCCGCAGCCCGGGGGGGGGGAATCCCCCTTCCCAGCCCCAGGCGGGA